CCCCCCCCCGCCCTGCAGCCAGGCCGCCGCCGGGCCGGTCGAACCCCCACTTCCGCGAAGGGGCAGGGCGGGGTCACGAAGTGGGCGCTGTGCCCGTGGGCGGGGCTTTCCCGAAGGGGCAAGGCCCGCGCATCCAGAATCGGGGCCGGCAGAGGGTTAAGGCCCACTGGGAGGAAGCCCAGGGTATTGGGGTCAGCATGGCATTAACCTAGCTCAAGCCAGGCCGGGCTGACTCAGCACCCTGTCCTGGCCATCCGTCATCCCCGACGGCTCTGCACTCTCCCCTCGGGCAGAGATGGGAGATGGCGCCGGTGCTGCCCCTGGTGCTGCCCCTCCAGGCCCGCATCCGTCTGGCGCAAGGGCTCTGGCTCCTCTCCTGGCTGCTGGCATTAGCCAGCGGCCTCACCCTGGTCTCTAGTGGGCACCTCCTGGCCCAGCTGAGGCACCTGGGCACTTTCCTGGCCCCCTCCTGTCGGTTCCCTGCCTTGCCGCAGGCCGCCTTGGCGGCGGGGGCGGTGGCTCTGGGCACCGGGCTGGGGGCGGCAGGAGCCAGCCGGGCGAGTCTGGATGCGGCTCGGTTCCCTCCCTGGCGAGGCGTCCTGGGCCCGCTGCTGGCGGCTGGCACAGCTGGGGGCGGAGGGCTTCTGATCCTTGCCCTGGGGCTAGCCCTGGGTTTGCCTATGAGTCTGGACCAGGGGCTGGAGGAAGGGCTGGGGATCGCCCTGGCTCACTACAAGGACACTGAGGTGCCTGGGCGCTGTCAGGCCAAGCGACTGATGGATGAGCTGCAGTTGAAGCATCATTGCTGCGGGCGCCATGGCTACAAGGATTGGTTTGGGGTCCAGTGGGTCAGCAGCCGTTACCTGGACCCCAATGACCAGGATGTGGTTGAGTGAGTGATTTGCTTCTCCCCTTCTCTTCCTTCTTTTCCTCGCCCCCCACCCTGCACTCCAGGCCCTCCTGCTGCTTTGAACTACCCCTCCCCACCCCCATCGGATCCAGACGGGCAACAAATGGAACACAGTGGTTGAGAATTGGGGTTACAGTTCTGTTATGTATCTGCTGAGCCACCCAAGGCATGTTGCCAAAGCCACTCTGGGCCCATTTCCTCCTCCATAAAATGTAGATAACAGTGCCTATCTTGCTAGGAGTTGTGAAGATAAGTGAATTATGCGTGCTTGGCACAGAGTAAAGCAGTCTATAAATGTTTTACTATCATTTTTCCCTCCTTAATTCCTGTGGACCCCACACACACAGCTTTTCCCCCAGGCCTGAGTTGGCCAACATCCTAAGCCCTTGCCTTGCAGCCGGATCCAGAGCAATGTGGAAGGCCTGTACCTGACCGATGGGGTCCCTTTCTCGTGCTGCAACCCCCACTCGCCCCGGCCTTGCCTGCAAAGCCGACTCTCAGACCCTTACGCCCACCCTCTCTTCGATCCCCGACAACGCAACCTAAACCTTTGGGCCCAAGGGTGCCACGAGGTGCTGCTGGGACACCTGCAGGACTTGTCTAGCACGCTGGGCAGCATGCTGGCTGTCACATTCCTGCTGCAGGTGAGTCAGCAAAGGACCCTGGGTCCCCTTCCATCTGGGACTTTAGCCCTGGGAACCACTGACTACCACCCCCACCCTCGCTTTTCCCACAGGCTCTGGTGCTTCTTGGCCTGAGGTATCTGCAGACAGCGCTGGAGGGGCTTGGAGGGGTCATTGATGGGGAAGGAGAAACCCAGGGTTACCTCCTCCCCGGTGGGCTGAAAGACATGCTGAAAACAGCGTGGCTGCCAGGAGGGGGTACCCACAAACCAGCGCCTGAGGAAGCCCCACCAGAAGACGACCCTCCCAAGGAAGATCAGCCAGAGGAGGCCTAGCAACCTGCAGTTGGGATGGGGCACAGGGGCAGAGGAAGAGGAAGGGATGGACAAACGTGGGGAAATTCAAGGTCTTGAGCTCTCCCTTGGCTTTTTTGCTTAAGGTGGGCTCTCTACCATATGAGCCACAGTTCCACTTCCAGCTTTTTTCTTTGTGTGGTTAACTGGAGATAAAGGGACTCACAGACTTTTCCTAGCCCAGGCTGGCTTCCAACTGCGATCCTTAGATCTCAGCCTCCTGAGTAGCTAGGATTACAGGCAGGATGCCACCCTATGCCTGGCAAACTCCAACTCCTCATCAAGACTCTAGGAGGAGACTCCTAGAATTAGAAGGGTCACGGGTAGTCACAGGCTAGACTGGGGTGAGAAACTAGATTTCCTAGGAACCAGCCCTGTGGTCAAAGCCACTAGATACGAGAAAACACTGGGGGATGGGAAAGTACCCTGCAGGGCTGGAGATGGCCTCTGGTGCAGGCTCTGTAAATAAAGTGTTTGGATGGAAACCATCGTTCTTTCTCATGGAGTACATGACAAAAAATGCCTTTCTGTGTGAAGGGGAAGCCAGGACTCCAGAGTTTTGACCCTGGCCCGGCCCGTGCAGGAATAGGTGCCTATAGGTGCCCACATCTCTCAGAACCACGGAGCATGAACAAGGGATGCCAAGCAAAGAAAAACAGAAGGCCCCTTCAGATTGAGATTGTTTATTCTGGAGGTAGGAAGGGGTCCGCATGCTCAGGTGGGGAGGGTCCAGCCCAGCTCCTCCAGCCCCCCCAGTGCATGCCCAGCCCCAATAAGTTACCCAGTTCCTCAGCCACCCTCCCTGCTGAGTCCATCTGTCCTGCTCCACCCCAGGCAGAGCTGACTTGGCTCCACACAACAGCTGCTTGTCCCCAGCCTGTGGACAGTTCCACATGGCAGGCTGGGGAAGGGAGAAGGCGGTACACCACGTCCTGGGGCCAGAGGAGCCGCCTCGGCTAAGGGGTCAAGACTTGCCGTAGCACATGTTGGATAGGCCTGGAGCCCAATCCCACGAGGTCTGTGCCTAAAGTGAGGTGGAAGCCGGAGTGAGCCTCTATCACACCTCAACGGCTGGGTCTGAGCCCCGGCCCTGCCGCTGCAGCTGCTCCTCCTGCTTCATCTTGGGCTTCTCTGTCCGTGTGTGCCACACCAGCACCTGTGCCGAAGGGTTTCAGTTACAGCCAGGACGGGCCATCGCCAGGCCTTTGGGGCCTGATGGACCGTGGATGCTCCCTCCCTCTCTACCTTCAGTGTTGTCTAGGTTGTGTGAAGGGCAGGGGTGGAGGGGATGTCAGTGCCTTTAAAATGGGGCTTTGCTCCTTTGCCCTCACGGGCTCCAAGGAGTCTGTGACACTCAGTGGCAGCAAACGCTGTTCCTCCCTAGCACCCAGCTGTCCCATAGAAGGGTAAGCAGGGTTGATCAGAGATCAGAATGTCCCTCCTTGTTCAAATACCCATTCCCTGGGTCTTGCCCGTTTGTTTGTTTTGCTTTTGTACCGGCCTGGAACTTGAACTCAGGGCCTGGGTGCTGTCCCTAAGCATTTTGTGCTCAAGACCAACACTCAACCACTTGAGGCATGGCTCCACTTCCGGCTTTTTTGGTGTTTAATTGGAGATAAAGAGTCTCATGGACTTTCCTGCTCCTATTGGCTTTGAACCGTGATCCTCAGATCTCAGTCTCCTGAGGAGCAAGGATTACAGGCGTGAGCTACTGCACCTGGCTTATATTGCCCCACTTCTCCAACCACCTATCTGTCCCAGAGCCACCTCCATCCCCCTTACCCGCGTACAGTTGGCAGCCTTCGGCTCCAGGTTCTTGGGATCCACGAGATGGCTCAGGAGACTGCTCTCCAGGTGGCCCCGGGGAGCAGTGGCATCAAACTGGGCATTGGGCTTAGCCAACAGCAAGGGCAGGGCGACAGCAAATCCCGCCATGTCCACAGGGAACGGCCTGTTGGGCTCCCATGCCGTGTGGAAGCCCACAACCCGGCCATCCTGTACCCGAGGGCCCTCGAATCGCAGGCCGCCCACCAGCCCTACGGGCCACACTGAGACACCTCGGGTCCAACGCATCTAACGGAGATGGGGAGAGAAGAAACACGGGTGGCCCGGGGAGGGGTGAGGGGAGGGAACAGCAGAAAGAACCACCTGGTTCACTCTGCCCGACACTGCTCCCCATGTCTCACCCAGAAGCCTTCAGGGACACTGGTAACCAAGGTAACAGATGCAGGCGGTTCCATCTGGCCTCCTTCCCCATTCCCATCCCAGGTCTCACCTCCTCAAAGAGCTCCCGACTGTAGGTGTTGTCATCATCAGCGAAATACACGACTCCCTGGGTCCCTGGTGCTGGTGGGTCCTTTTCCCCTCCCACTGCGCCCCCTCTTCCCCGGAGCCAGTCCAGGGCCTTGTTTCGCTGCTCTACACCACGGGGCCGAACCCAGCCTGGCTCTCCTTCCCGAAGCCGCTGGGCCTTGGGGGTAAGGACGGCTAGGTGTGTGAAGAGGAGACCGGAGGCAGCTAGCAGCCCCGAGACCAGCGGGGTAGGGCCCTCGGAGTCCTCCACCAGCAGCCAGTGTAGCCGGGGCACCAGGCTCAGGGTCTGGGACAGCCGCACCAGCTCCGCCTTCTGCACCAGCCTGCAGGGGAAGAGATGCAGGGAGGTACATGGCATCCTGGGCCCACTGCAGCCTGGATAGTACAAAGCTTCTCCTGGCTCACTGTTACTATCTTCCCTAGCTTCTCCTCAGCCAGTGCCCAAGTGCTCTCTTTATTATTATTTTATTTATTTATTTTTGTAGGTCATGGGCCTGAACTCTGGGCCTGGGTGCTGTCCCTCAGCTCTTCAGCTCAAGGCCAGAGCTCTACCACTTGAACCACAGGGCCACTTCCAGTTTTCTGGTGGTTCATTGGAGATAAGAGTCTCATGGATTTTCCTGCCCAAGCTGGCTTTGAACTGTGATCCACAGATCTCAGCCTCCTGGGTAGCTAGGATTACAGGCATGAGCCACAGGCACCCAGCTTCCAAGGGCCCTCTTTATTAACCATCAATTCCCTGCCCACACTCACCTGCCCTTTCTCTGCCATTCTAATCAGTCTCCACCACCCACCTCAAACCTAGGAGACAATCAACTAACCACACAGGCATTGGGACCACAAAGATCTGGGTTTGAATCCCAGCTGTGTAACCTAAGGTTGAAATACTTGGGAGAAATCTTTAGTTCTGAGTCTTACCTTTACTCAGCTGTAAAATGGGAATAACAATACTTTGTAACAATGTTATTGTAAAAGTAAACATGATCATGGCTTTTTTGAAAACACCGAGAGACCAGGTTCTTCAGGTTCTTTTCCTCCTGTGCTGGGTGTCTAGGGAGAGGGATTCTAGAGGAGTTCCTCCATCATTCTTCTGCAGGGAGGAAGTCTCAGTCATCGTTTACATCTGCTGCCTGCCCCAGGAGTGGTGGTGCATGCAGGAATGCGCACGTGGGTGGAGGGGACCTAGAGCTGCCTGTGTGAAGATGGCGCAGCCATCTGACTCCAGAGAGGCACATGTGTTATGAGGCCCTTTTGGCTGCAGATCCCAAACTACTTTTCCAAATTGGTTTTTTTTAATCAGTAATAAAGCTATTCTTTGACTTAAAACAAATGTCAAACATTTAGCACAGTGTGTGGTAAAGAGTAACACGCTGTACATGATAGCTAGTGAAGGCATTTCTAGAAATTAAAATAACTGGCCTATTTTGACTGCTTTTTTTTTGGGGGGGGGTGCTAGGATTTGAACTCAGGGCCTCATAACTTGCTAAGCAAGTGTTCTATCACTGAAACCACACCTCTAATCCTTATCTCTTTCATTATATTTAAGATAAAGAGTCTCACTATAGCTGGGCGCTGGTGGTTCACGGCTGTCATCCTAGCTACTCAGGAGGCTGAGATCTGAGGATTGAAGTTCAAAGCCAGCCCAGGCAGGAAAGTCCGTGAGACTTTTATTTCCAATAAACCACTAGAAAACCGGAACTGGCACTGTGGCTCAAGCAGTAGAGCACTCTCCTTGAGCTGAAGAGAGCAAGGACAGTGCCCAAGCCCAGAGTTCAAGCCCCACGACTGACAAAAAAAATAAGTCTCACTATTTTGTCTGGGCCAGCCTGGACTGTAATCCTCCTATATAGGCTTCCCACTATAGCTGGGATGTGGACAGGTGCATGCCACGACGCCCAGCTTCTTAGTAGTTTAGATGGGGTCTTGTAAGGCCTTTACAAGGCCTGGGCTGGTTGTTGTTGAAACTGGATCCAAGTAACTAGGATTACAGGTGTGAGCCACAACCTTCAGTTCCCTTCCCACTTTTTTTTTCCTTCAGTGCTATAAGCAAGCATTCTACCACTGAGCGTCATCTCCAGCCCTCTAATTTTAATTAATTATTTATTATTTTAGTGGCAGTATGGGGACTTGAATTTCCAAGGTTAGCATTCTACCATTTGGTCCACACTTGCAGCCTTGCTTTTGGCTGGTTATTTTGGAGACAGGATCTATCAACTTTTCTGCCAGGGCAAAAAGCAGTGATACTTCTGAGTAGCTAAAATTACAGGTATGAGCACTAGGATTTGATTTTTTTAAAATTTACTCATTTTTTTTAATTGTGAAAATACCGTATAGAGGTGTTACAATTACATGGGCAAGATAATGAATACATTTCTTTTTTTTTTTTTT